CTGGTGAGGACTTTCATGGCGTTCTCGAAGTCGGATTCGAGTATGATGTCGCGCATGCCGTCAATCAGGGCGGCGGAGGTCGCGTGGAGGACATCCAGTCCGTTGCCAAAGGCACTGGTGGGTGCGTCCTTTTTGCTGCCTTTGCCTGAAGAGCCGGGTGCCGTGAGGTCGTCGGCATCGCCGAGGAGCATGAAGACGTCCCAAACGCGGAGTTGGGCGGGAAATGGGATAGAGTAGTTGAAAAGAGTCAGGTACCACCGCGTGCCGTATGCCGTGGGAGGAATGCCAAGTTCATTCTATAAATTGGTTAGAGCCCTGTGTCGAGGTGTATGGGAAAACGCCGTTTCACTCACCAGCTTGGCAGCTACCTCTCCTTTTTCTAGCCACTCTCGTTCAAAATCCCCCAAGGCCTCCATGAGGCCTGAGAAGCCGGACTGGTACAGACGCTCTAACCCCCGTAATTGCCAAAGTCGCACGAGCATGATAAATGCATGTTCTTCGTCGTAGTAGGCGAGTAGAGTCGCAGCCAGGGCAGCCATGCCCTGCACGTATCCCGTGTCTGGGAAGTACAAGGACATCGCATGAAGTACTCGGAACAATAGTCGTTGGCCTCCGCGATACCGTCGCCGGAACATGATGTGACTGGTGATGGTTCTCGGAACGTCTATATCGATCTGGACATCATCGGGCGACGAAACCAATTGAAATTCATTGAATGCTTCAATTAGCTCCTCTTCCGAAGGACTATCACTGTGCATTCTGGCGCTGGATTTCAAAAAGGCGTACCACGCGGTCGCTCGCCATCGGTCGGGGATGCCTTTCCATGTCCGCTCAATCAGTTTGGAGCTTGTCGTGTCAAACTCGAATGTCATGCCACCGCCATCCCCGCTCCGCATGGGGCGGGCCATCTTTGTCCATTTGTCTTCCCTTTCCCACTCTTTCTTTCTCGCCGCGCGGGCGGCAGCTGCGTCCTGTTTCTCACCTGGATTCAGAGGAGCTGTCGGGTGGGTGAGCATATCGCTCGCCTCATCTTTGACGCGGCGGTCGCGATTGTGTGGCAGATGGTTGGCGGCCCGACGAAACCGCGAGGTTGATCGTCGCATCATGGTCGTGCTATACATGCTGTGAGAAGAGGTTGGCCGTATGGAAGGCTCGGACATCTTCCGCGTCGGGGAGCGGCCTGTGAGGCCTGAAAAGGGACGATTTCCCCCGATGGCCGAGGGTGGACGGATGGAGTGTTTCCGTCGCGGCGTCTCCGAAGCCATAAGTAGGCTGGTAGAGACACGCTGGATCGGACTGGGGTCAATCCCTTCGTTGGAGTTGGACGTCGGTGATCGGATGAAGCCGTACCGGTCGACATCTCCAGCCTTGATGTTCTGCCAGTACTCGATGCCTCCAGCTAACTCGTGAGCCTCTCTTTTGATTGCTGGTCCGTTCTCTGGACCGAGAGACGACACCACACTTTTGGTATCCACTGACATACTGGGTCCAGAAAGACGAGAGGTCTCCATACTGGTTGGAGTATCTTCCCACAAGATGCCATTCTCCATAGCCATGGATTTTGCTACTTCTGAGTCTGTCACATTTTCTTCGCCCTTCTCATACATCAGCCGTACCCGTCGCGACAACATATCTTCGTCCGCAGAGATGGCTCTGCTTGCCATGGCGCTGTGCCTGACTCGGAGGGCCGAGACGGGCTTTGACCGCCTCGATGGCGTCTCGATGGTCTCCGGCTCTGTGCTATTTTGTTCCGACGAGGCGACATCAGGTGACGCCGGTTCTCTGTCATCAGATCCCCGTTGTTGCTGATTGTCCCCATCTTGAGTTTGTTGTGCCGCCTCTCGTCTTCTTGCTTCCTCTTGTTCAATTTGCTGTTGTAATTGGCGTTTCGATTCCTCCTTGATAAGACTTCCGCGCTTGGAGAAACGCATCGATTGCGGTCCCAGACCGTCGAGAGCCGAGTTTGGGATATCCAGAGCAATGCCATTGAAAGGGGCTTGAATCGGCGGCACAGGGGGGGCATCGTCATCTCGATCGAACTCACCCGACTTCTTACTTCTCAGACCGCCCCATCTGCGCTCCGACCACCGTGAACCGGGACGAGATCCTGGGCGGGATGCAGGACGGGAGGCGGTATCATTGACAATGATACTGGGGATGCTGTTGCGCAGTGAGCGCAAGCTCACAGTCGAGGCCCCAGCCTCTGGTAAGGCAGTGAACCTGTTCCGCCGCGATCTGGCATTTTGTTGCGACGGCGCGGACCCCGACTGCTCCCAAGCACTACCGGACGATGCGCTATGCGATGTTTCCTCCGAGCACGAAGTACAATCCACTGGGGTCGGGTATGAGGCGGAGCGAACGGCGATGGGGGCCGTGGCGGCGATGGTGTCGTCGTAGGGAACGGTCTGGATGGTTGAAGCGGAGTCGGACATCACGACAGCAGGAACAGAAGCGGATCGCGTTTCTACCATTATCCTGGCATCGCTTGCGCCTTAACTCGAGTGGAGGTGGAACACTTTCTGGACGGAGCTGCGAAGGGCTTTTGAGCCTTCTGGACAAGCCGGACGAGACGGTGGTGCACGCCGGTTTAACCAAGGGGGGGCGAGGGCGCGAGCGAAGGAGGGAGGGACAGGGAGGGAGGCGGGGAGCGTAGCAGGACTGTAGCCACAAAGGAACGGATGTGAGAGCTGGGATTCTGGCACGAAAAAAGGGTCACGGATTGCGATTGATTAAGATTTGAGAATTATTAGGATTAAGATTAAACGGTCACACGACGGAAAATGAACGACACTGGGGGGAAGAGGTCTCTTGCGCAGCGAACCATGGCCCCCAAAATGGTTGCGAGGAACGAAGGCGGACGAGCAAAAGGGAAAGACGGCGGAGGGAAGAAGAATGGCTGGACCGCGGCAAAAAAAAATAAAAAATAAAAATGAAATAGAAGTGAGAGAGAGAGAGCGTCAGTCAGTCAGAGCCAGGCTTGGCAAAGGTGATAGCTTGCAAATAATAATGATGAAAAAGCAAGAATAATGAAAAGTAAAAAAGAAAAACAAAAATATGGTAGGATGGTCGGAGAAAAGACGATGGGTGAGAAGAGTTGGGAGGAGAGAAAAAAGAAGAGGATTCAAGGAATGTGGTCACAATGAGGTGTATCTTTCTTTTTCTTTTTTCCCAATGAGAATTGGAGAATGAGGAAGCGGAAAGTGGAATGGAGAATCTCACCCTCCCGTTGATTTTGTATTGGTCGAAAGGAGTGTCTACTTGGAGTAGTAGCAGTAGGAGTAGGAGTAGTAGTTGTGGTTGTGGTTGTGGTTGTTCATGAACAGTAGAAATACTAGGTAGTAGTAGCAGTATCGCTACCTAGTAACCTACCAGGAGTCAGCCCTGAGAATTGATTCCCTCCTCTTGAAAATGAAAATTTCCCGTTTGTATTGGGGGGGGAAAAAAAAGGAAGAAAAAAAAAATATAATAATCAAGAACGAGGAGGAGGAGGACGACGACGACAATAACGTCTCCTTCTTGTCTTCAACCAAACTCCAAAGGCAAGGATCACGAAGGGGGGCCTGCGATCCACTATATTATAATTAATTTAGTATCATTTAATTCCTCGGGAGGGCCACGCAGCAGTGGATCTTCACACGGTTAATTTTACGTTGGACTTCCCAGATTTTTGATAATAATAGAAATGGATACACTGCTAGTATCTAGTCTATCTAGAGAAAGTGACTCCATTCAATCCATTGGTACAGGAACTGAAGTGGGAGAGAGGGGGAGATTTATTCTCTGTTATTATTATCATTTCCTCCTATCTTTACTTACCATCCTATGCGATCGTGGGATTTGGTTGGGGGGGGGGAGCAGCATAATTTCATCCCACGCCCAACAGGCAACGTAACGGTTTGTTTGCTGGCCCGGCTTTCTGATTACTCCAGGAGTTCAAAACTAGTGTACTACTAACTACTGACTAGTCCACGGATTTGACTGTTTGACGGGTTGATCTTCTTCTTCTTCTTCCTCCCCCCTCGTTTTGCGCACAAACCACCAAGAATGAAACTGGAAATTGGGGCTCTTCTCTTACTCCTCCCCCTCCCCTCGCCTATCATGAGAGAAGCAATTACTTCCTACTTACTACAGTAACTTCTGATAGAGTTTCATTCCTACTATCTACAAACTTTTCGTCCCTATTTGCTTTTCTTTCTCCTCCTTTTGTGGTTTGGAATTTTTGGGCTTGTAATTTTTCTTATTTATTTTTCACCCTTTAATTCTATCGGCTAGGTAGGGGATAGCGTCGGCTTCCTCCCTACTCCTAGTAGAACTACTAATATTTTAGGTTGCGAGATAGACAGCAGGAGTGGATGATACTGACCCGGCCGAGGAAAGGGGAAACGTCAAGTCTCTCACTAATTTTCCCTACTACGTAGAAAGTACACTAACTAATCTACTAGCAGTGGCTTCGCTTTCCCTCCCCCTTGACAGAGAGGGGGTTTCGCTCAAGTGAAGAATTCAGTCAGGTCTGTGTGAAATTCTCCGTCCTTTGTCTACTGCAATCCTACAATATTATATGCATGGATGATGATTTTACAGTTCCCGGTTTTTATTTCCAGGATCTCTACAGAAGTATCTACTACTAGTAGTATCCCGTAAAACACTACTCTGATCCACTTCCATGATTTGCCTACTGACTTTATCTACATCCGGCGTTACTTACATGCAAGGACTACTGCCCTTTAGGGGCGATTCTTTATTCTCGTGCACTTCTTCTTTCTGCCCTTCTCCTTTGGCCGGCTTTCAGGCTTTTCAGGAATTAAAAAAAAGAAAAAAGAAAGAAAAAAAAAAAAAATCAAACCCTAATTCTTGTCCCCTTTCTTTCCCTTTAGATTGTGACAACCCACTGTAAAAACTCCGAGAAGGCTAGAAACCAGCTTGCCTTCAATGCAAACAAACGGCACCGCGGCCTAGCGTGCCCCCAGTGCACACGGCCCTCCGACGCAGACCCGCACTTGGTCGACAAAGGAAAAGCAGGGGTAAAAAGCATATTGGCACGGGAGGATCGATAGATTGGCCGTTCCCCTGCCAATGGTCGCAGCTTAATTCTTCATTCACAAGGCCTTCAGGCCACTGCTGCCGTGTTGATGCCGGAGCGAGACGCTTCGCGCGCGGACCGTGCTGGCTCAATCGGCTCCTTGGGAAGAAGCTCAATCTGGCGCACCAGGAAACTCTTCTCATCCGTAAATTGATCGTCGTCCGTCCGGTCCTCTAGGAACCTCGGTAAGAACTTCAACAGCCGATCACGGTTGTTGATCAGGATCCGCTGCACCGCAACCGATTTATTGGGGTTCGCAACAAACACCTGTAATGTAATAACGGTCAGTGGCCTGGGTCCTTGCAGCGGACCAAGCTAGAAGTTGCCCACATACCTTGAACACGTGGAAGCCCTCATACTGGACCATCTTTCGGTCGTCCCGCAGCAGTTTCATACACAGCTTGAGGTTCTCCCCACTCTCCACATAGGCCATCATCACATTGTAGTTGGTTCGGTCCAGGAGGATCTCTCCTAGTAGCTTGATGCTTTGTCGTTTAGTGACATACGAGCTGGACTGTACAAGTACCTCGTTGAATCTGGAGAAGAAGAGGTCAAAGTTCGTGGCCAGATAGCCCGTAACGATGGATTTATGGCGGGTCAAGATCTCCTGCACATCAGTTAGCTTCCGGGACGGCATGGTGTCAAAAGCCGACACAAGCGCTCACCCTAAACGTTGTGAAAGAGTCGGCACTCAGTTCGAAGCTCCCTCGGTCGATCCAGTAAAAGAACCTCCAGAATATGCCATTGCCCTCTTGAGGCACGCCCGGCTGCACCTCCGTCAGTCGAATCGCTGGCTCCCCCTCTTCCGACTGGTCATAGAGGATGATCGCCGCGATAACATCAAACTTCAGCGCTTCTCGCAAGATGGTGCCGCATGGCATGGCACTTTGGCTATGCTCGTAGCCCTTGCACAGTTCGATGATAATCTCGGGTCGTTTGTGGACAATGTAGGAAATGACAGGAGGGTCTGCATGGCTTGCATTGACGGGTTTAAAACGGAGGATGTGAGAGAAGATAGTTTGTGTGTCTTTTCGAGCTTCGAAGGGCAGACGATGAAGCCCTTGGGCTAGTTCGTAGAGCAAATCTTCCTGCAGGGTAGCCTGCACTAATGCTTGGACTTGTTCGGGGGACACCTCAATTTCTGAAAGGTAAGCTCACATCAGCCGACGTCCATTCCGAAGCCCATCTGGCGCCCCTGCACTTATTCTGGGAGAAAAAGGGCCATTGGTAAGGGTTCATGCATGAGACATACCTTGAGTACCCTGGACAATGAGTTTCATCTGAGATAGTTGCTTCGCCAGATCATCTTCGACCTATCGGGGTACGGAACGGTCAGTACTCCTTTGTTTTGGAAGTTGCTTATCGGCAGCCGCAAATGTAAACATAACAGATCGGAGCGACGAACCTTGGCAGTGGTTGGCGATTCTCGAAGCCTCACCAAGAGTTCCTTGATTGATCTGGCAATGTCCGAAGGCTGGCGGGACCGACCACGATTGAAGAAGAAGGCCATGGTTGTTGTTTGTATTGGCAACAAAACCAAAACAGGGAGAGAGAGTGAAGGCGGAGGGGATAGTCGCTCCTCGCGGGCAGCACACTAGCTATAGGGACATGTAAGGGAAAGCAGGTCAAACAAACAGAGTGTCACAGACTCTCTGCAGCTGCAACGGTAATCAGTGGTGCACAAGGGGGGTTTGTCTGGCAGACGAGCAAGAGGGGATCGTTTGGTCTGGAAAGCAGTGAGGGAAGCGGTGACGCTGTTGTTGGCGGGGAAGCCGATGGCCTCAGGCTGTTATCGCAGTTCTGGGCCCGTCAGGTGGATAAACATTTGGAACAAATCAACCCAATCCAGTCCCAAGCCGGCGGGGCTGCCTTTTCCGAGAATTTTCTAATTTTTTCCCCTCGATTATTTGACTTTTTTTCTCCGGCGGGAATCTCGACTCAACCCCTCCTCAGGTACTTCCATACCGAATTCTGTCGGCAGCAACCATTAGCTCCGACACTCTCTTCTATTCTTCTTCATACCTAGTGACAGTGTCTTTGGTCAATTTCATTTGGTTGTCGCTTAGATACCATAATATACCAGTCCCGCTCCTACGAAAAATAACCGTCTCAATTGGTTCTGTTTCCCCGCAGTTGCGCCATGTCTGCTTCCGCTCTCCCCTCTGAGCGTCTGCCCAGAGACGATGATGCACGCTCCGTCTCTTCCGATAGCTCGGATGTAAGCAACGAGGAAGGATGGGAAGATGTCGAGCCCGATGATGATACCCAGCCCGTCGTGGGCCTGTTTTCCGAGAAGGTTTACCCCGACGTGCGGGCCATGCTCAAGGAGACCAAAGACAAGTACAACTTTGATCTGCGGAGGATTCAAAAGGAGCTCGGTGTGTAGTCAATTGTACTTGGATTTAGCATTTACTATTTCCTTCTGCTGCTCAAGCCCGGACGATCGTCTGTTGGTCGATACATTCGAGATGAACTATGGCTAACCTATCTCTACTTGTGTTTCACTATCAGACCTGGACTTCCTGGGTACTATCAAGTTGGTCAACTATGTCCGAACTCAAGTGAAAGAAGGCAACATGTCTCCCGACGTCTCTTCCGCCGACAAATTCGAGGACGATGCTTACCTGAAGCCCGTGCTGGAGGATGATGCCCTTCTCTACAGTCTGGATGACATTGAGGACGAAACCCCCGAGACAACTGGTGGTTCTGACGCTGAAAGACGCGTGATCGAACTCCAGGAAGACCTAGAACGCCTTCAAACCCAGTTCTCCGAGTATAGAGAGGCCGTGCAGAAGTCTATGGAGGAGCAACTGACCAAGGAGGATGAGAAGCTCGGCTCTACCCTCAGTGATGCGTCCGCACAAAAGGCCGCTAACAGGGTCGAAGAAATTGACGCGGACTACTTCACTTCCTACGCCTACAACGGTATGATGTCCTTGATCCCAGGGCTGCTTGGTTTCTGATACTAACGCGCTTCTTATCTAGGAATCCACGAGTCCATGCTCAAGGACACCATCCGCACTGATTCCTACCGCGACTTCGTATATGAGAACAAGCACGTGTTCAAAGATAAGGTTGTCCTCGATGTTGGCTGCGGAACTGGCATTTTGTCCATGTTCTGCGCGAAGGCCGGTGCGAAGAAGGTCATTTCGGTCGATAATTCCAATATCATCGATAGAGCCAAGGAAATCATCTACGAGAATGGATTTGGTGATGTCATAACGTATGTTTCGCAATATCTTGGTTTTATCTAGTTGCGTGACTGACAGCTGATACCTAAACTTCTAGGTGCATTCGCGGTAAAATTGAGGAAGTCACGCTGCCAGTTCAGCAAGTTGACATCATTATCTCCGAATGGATGGGCTACGGTCTACTGTTCGAGGCCATGTTTGACTCGGTCATTTACGCTCGGGACCGGTATCTCGCCCCCGGAGGACTCATGGTTCCCTCGCATGCTACGCTCCGCGTCGCTCCCTTCGCCGACCCTGACTTTATCGCAAACCACATCTCATTCTGGAAGAGTGTGTACGGCTTCAACATGAGCAGCATGCTGACTGGTATCTATGATGAGGCTCTTGTTCGTGTCGTGGAGCCATCATCAATCCCTGGCCAATCTGCCGTTTTCCTTCCCCTTCCTCTACATACTATCACTGTCGAGGAGCTGTCGTTCCTGAAGGAATTCCAGGTCACTCTTACCGAGGACATTGACGCGCTGGACGGTTTTGCTATCTGGTTTGATATCTTTTTCATGCCTTCGAGGGACTCACCCATTGCCGACGACGCTGTTCCGTCCGAAATGCAGAAGAAGGGTATCGTCGCTTTCACCACGGGACCTTATGGTAAAGAGACGCACTGGCAGCAGAGTATCCTTCTCATCGACCATGAGAAGAGAAAGGGCGTCGCCTTGAAGAAGGGCCAGACCATCACTGGAAAGGTCGGCTATCAGAAGAAGTCGGAGAAGTCCCGCTCCTTGGACATTACTATCGAATGGGATAGCCAGGATGGCGAAAAGGGTTCCCAGAAGTGGGGTCTGCAATAAGTTGCAGGTCTCGTTGCAGACTCATCTTCAGTTTGAGTAGATAGATAGTCTTCAAAATGCGTTAGTCATAGACAAGGCTCGCTACCTGCTTCCATCGACTAAGAGTACGACTCAACGAATGTAGCTTTAGATCGTGTACAAGAGAGCCTAGAGTTGTAAGCTGCCCATGAAGTTCTGGTGTGAGTGCGAAGTTGAACACTTCAACGTCTCGATCGGGAGTCTTCGTCATAGCGTCTGGAATCCCTGTGTCGGTGGTGTCGATCATGATGAGAACGATGAGACCGCGAATCAGAATGGGAGGTTCGTCGATGCGAACGCTCTCGACTTCTATCTCTACGATGCCGATGGTGTCGATGGGATCTTCGATCCTTGTCATCTCGACGCCTACCTGGGGAGGCATCGAGTCTGAAGCCTTCGATGCTATCCTGCGACGGCGACCTCCTACTGCGGTGAGAAGATCGATGCTTCTCCGAAGCCTTCAGAGCTTCCAGCTCTCGACTTCGTTCCTCATTCCACCTTTTCCTCTCCTGCTCAACCGTCTTCAACTGGCGGACGCCCTTTCTCATCGCCGCGAGCGGGTCATTTGCATCCATCCGGGCCTTCTCCCTTTCTCTCCTTAATGGGTCCTCATTTCCCCAGACGTCCTTGCTTGGCATGGATTCAGCAGCTGCGCCCTCGCGTTGCGAAGACGAATACCAAGGGTCTTGGCCAACAGATTGTCGAAACCCAGCCGCATTAGAGAATCGCATCGTGTATTGGTCTTCGAGCTCTCGCTTCTTCTCCTTACTCTCCTTTTCCGCCTCTGCATTCTTTTCCACGGGCTTGCGCTTCGCCTCTGAAGGAAACAGATCAATGTGACCAGTACTATCATGAAGTGGCGCATCGCTTGACCGAGCAGCGGCTTGCTGCGCCCGTCTATCCAACGCCAACTGTGCATCCTCCTGTGCAAATCTAATGTCTCTATCCGTGTCATCCTCTCCGGCCAGGCGCCTTCTCTTTCTAAATCGGCCTGCATCTTCTGTCTGGACTTTCCTTTCTTGTGGGCGGGCGGACGGCGCTGGGGGCGGCGGAGGTGGTGTTGAAGGCCGTTCGCCGCGGAGTATCTGGATCCTTCGTTCGGCATCAGCTTCTTGCATGAGACGCTCTTCCTCCTCTTCTTGGGCTTTGGCCTGAGCTTCGTCGCGCCGAACGCGCTCGATATTCGCTGGGTTGTAGACATTCCATGACTTCTTGCCGAGGAGGTGACTGCAAAAGGACACTGTAAGTACACAAGCATGCTAAGACAAGGGGAAGCGGGTATACTGACAGAGGCATCTTTAAGGTATCGAAATGTAATGAACTGGTGGGGATGGAGGCGTCAGTTCTCCCTCCGGGTTGCGTGAACGAGAAGCAGCGTCATCCAGACCGGTCGGCGAAGACGGAGGTGGGCGGACCGACCGATGGGGCGGGAACCCTGAGTACCTTACCTACGGTCCATGTGTTGCGGGCGCTGGAGCTTCCCCCCCATCCAATGTGAGACCGCCACCTCTCATTATTCTTCTTTCTTTCCATCCTCTACCTCACTTCTATTCCATATATTCAGCTGCCTATACTCAACATCACTTTTTGCTTGCGTACTCATATACTATCTAGTCATAATCTGGTCATTTGAGTACTTGGCCTCAAGGCAACAGCTGCTGGCAGCATCGCTTCGCCACATTCAATCAGCCTATACATACCCTATCCTCGTCTGGGAACTCATTGCATTGCATTTCCTTTCTAATTCGCAACTCGAAGACCTCTTCTATCTGGCCTGAAGATGTTCAATCGCAACAACTATCCTTCCGTCCCTAATCCTTTCGGCTCCCGCCCCTCTCGAGGTGACGGTTATACCAACCCACCTCAAGGACAATCCCCCTACCCCTCCAGGTCGGGCGCAAGGTATGGGCCTCACACGGCACCATAATGAAATAACAGTGGTTGATATGCTTGGTAATTAGTCCCGCAGGATACGGAGCGCCACCCCAGTATACGGGAAGGCCGCCGCAAATGCCTCCGAGAAACCCCGTTGGAGAGAAGCCTGTGAGCTCAGGCCGATCATGGACGCTGCGTCCTGCCAAGAGCCCGGATAATACGTATACATTTGGGAACCTGTATGTTCAAGTGTGGTCGCTGTCTTGCTTGCCCTTCTCCTAACTGTGTCTAGGGTTGCTGTTTCCGCCCAGGAATTCCCACCCTCCCGCGATGGACACGATCTCCTCCTACTCATCAACGGTCTCTACGTCTTCTCCGCGCGCCCTCTCGATGGGTTCCCACCGGGACAAATCAGCATGTCTGATCCTCAGCGGACATGGGCTGGCGTCGCTTTCACGGATACCGTTTCGGTGCAAATCTACGACCCCTTCAGTCAGGGCGGACAGGCCTACGTTGGTTCTACAGATATTGAGGTTGGGTTTGCTGGGAAGAAGCGGGTCGAGACTCCATATGATCAAGATGAGCTGGCAAGTGTGGTGATCAGGGTACGTTCCCCCATTTCCGGTGGAAGAAAGAGCAGCAACTGACCTGTGCAGAACTTCGAAAACCAAATCTTCGCCCCCGGTCAAAAGATATTGATGGATCATCGAAGCATCCCACTTCTGTTGACCGTCAAAACCGTTCAGAGAGTCGATCTATCCTCTGAGAATGCCAGCGGTGGCAGTGTCGAGACGGATCCTACGGCGCGGGGTATTCTCACCAGGCACTCCCAGATTACATTCTTCAAGGATGCTAGTACTGGTATCAACTTGAAGCCCTCCAACCGCCGACCGGCGGCGAACTCCATCATTCAGCCTGACTTTAAGTTCGAGAACATGGGCATTGGCGGTCTTGATTCCGAGTTCAGTACTATCTTCCGTCGTGCGTTCGCGTCCCGTATCTTCCCTCCGGGGTTGGTGGAGAAACTGGGACTCCAGCACGTCAAGGGTATCCTGCTTTATGGTCCCCCCGGAACGGGTAAAACCTTGATTGCTCGTCAGATCGGAAAGATGCTCAATGCCCGGGAGCCCAAGGTCATCAACGGACCCGAAGTGCTTAACAAGTACGTTGGTCAGTCCGAAGAAAACATTCGGAAAATGTTCGCAGACGCCGAGAAGGAATACAAAGAAAAGGGAGATGAAAGTGGTCTTCACATCATCATCTTTGATGAACTGGACGCTGTCTGCAAGCAGCGTGGCAGTGGAGCTGGAGGTGGTACGGGTGTTGGGGACAGTGTGGTGAACCAGCTGCTCTCGAAGCTGGATGGTGTGGATCAGCTCAACAATATCCTACTCATTGGAATGACCAACAGAAAGGACATGATTGATGAGGCGCTGTTGCGTCCTGGTCGTCTTGAAGTTCATATGGAGATCTCTCTTCCTGATGAGAAAGGCCGAGCCCAGATTCTTAAGATTCACACCCAAAAGATGCGGGATAACGACGTCATGGATGATGATGTTGACCTGGCTGAGCTGGCCCTGATGACCAAGAACTTCTCTGGGGCTGAAATATCTGGTCTTGTGAAGTCCGCATCTTCTTTTGCATTCTCCCGGCATATCAAGGCGGGCACGACAGCCAGCATCAGCGACGATGTCGTGAACATGAAGGTCAACCGGTCCGACTTCCACCATGCGCTCGAAGAGGTCACACCTGCGTTTGGTGTCTCTGAAGAAGAGCTCTCTAGTCGTATTCAACATGGCATCACACACTTCTCGCCCGTGATCAACGAAATCCTCAAGGAGGGCGGCCTGTTCGTCAAGCAAGTTGCCGAGGATGAATCCTCACCTTTGTTCTCAGTGTTGCTACATGGGCCCACTGCAAGTGGCAAAACGGCTCTCGCGGCTCGAATCGCTATAGACTCTGGATTCCCCTTCATTAAGTTGATCAGCCCCGAAGACATGGGAGGCTTCAGCGAAACGGCCAAGGTCCAGCGCATTATCAAAGTATTCGACGATGCTTATAAGAGTCGTACCAGTGTTGTCGTCATCGATAATCTCGAGAAGCTCATCGAGTGGGTTCCTGTCGGCCCTCGCTTCAGCAACACAATCTTGCAGACTCTGCAGGCCGTGTTGAGGAAACATCCTAACAAGGGCCGCCGGCTCTTGATCATAGCAACCACTACGCAGAGATTTGTGATGAAGCAGCTTGACTTGTTCAGCTCCTTTGATGCCGACATCATGGTTCCAAACGTGATGACCTATGATGAGCTCAAGCACATCTTGGAGCATTCTGGCGCATTCAACGAGCAGGAAATTGGCCAGGCACTGGCAGGCATTGGCAGTATATCCGATGACGGTACCATTGGAGTCGGTGTGAAGAAGATCTTCAGTGGGATTCAAACGGCTAAGAAAGACGTGGATAAGGTTGGTCGCTTCGTGCAGGTTATCAACAACGCTATCGAGGCAGAACGTTCTGGTGTTTAGGGAGCGTTTGCTGTTTCTCAAGGTCTGGGACCATCTTAAGATTGTCGCTACGTTGGCTATTCGCTTGTACGCTTATTTAGATGCTAAACTCAATAATAATATGGCTTGTTACTAGACATGGTGCACTACCCAGATAGTGTTGTTCCCTCGCAGCCAAGGCTTGCTGTGGTCTGAGCCTGGAGACTGTGCACTAGCTGATGGAATCTAGGTGACAGTGCGACGAGTCAATGGCGACAGGTAATTGTCGGATCATGTTGAAAATTACAAAGAGCTTCAAATCTTTTCGATTGGATTGCCCCGCCAAAATCTCAACTGAAGATATGGACCCATTCTCTTACTGTAGACATCTTATGGTAGTGGGAAAAGTACGATCAGAAATATAAAGTCTACTAGTATGAAGGATCATGTAATCACAATAGATAATAGAATTAATCTTCTTGAATAACTAAACGACATTATCGTTCAGAGAGCTCCTTTTCCAACGTAGTATAGAGGCTATGGTATCGATGCCTCCGGCTGTTGTAGACGCCTGTTCTCCCTGGAGTACCTTTCGAAGGAAGCCTGGGGGTTAATGCTAGTCACACAAACAAGAACTGAACAATATCATCCTACAAGACCCCCCACCAGTACGATAGTATTTTACTTTTCGTGATGAATCTGCCCCCCGCTTTCAGCTGCAGGATGAGACTGCTTCTGAGTGGAGACTCATATCTCATGTGTTAATACTGACCCTCAATTGCATCTTGGTAGCTCAGCGGTCTCGATAACAGACGTTGGCTATTGGGTAGTTTTGGAAGATTCCTATGGAAGATTCCGAACTATTCGCGTCCGTATTTGAATCTGCCTAAGCTCTATCATAACATAGGTCATTCAAATTTATGCATGATTAAGGTGCCTTGATGCTAGGCAAAGCACACTGCATATGTCGCTGCCATGCGCAAAAGTGCCTGTATGATGTATGGGAGTGAATAACTTACAATAACGTGAATTGTATTCTATCGAGATCGTGTGGCAGGGAACTAATTCCCTCGTCCACTTCACTTCGCACCCACACCTGCCCTCTTCCCTCTTCCCTCTTCCCTCCCATTTCCAACTCCTTTGTTTCTTTTGCTTGCTCCACACCTTCGAAAGCCCTTTCCTTACTATTTTTGCAGCTCTTGCTTCGAAACTTCTGGATTACAACACTCAACACCACCGCAAACGCTACTCTACATATCTACCAACAACGATGGCAGCGTGCACTTTCACACCCAAGCAGATCCTGAAGAAGGAGGTGTCCCAGAGAGAATATGAGTTCCTCCAAGAATGGGCCCCCGACACTATCAAGGACTACACTCCGATCAAACCTGGCAATCCGGTAGACAGGATGCCCAAGCATCAGACGATGCCCAGCCAGCCACACGTTCAGAGCCCCCGACGGGCTAAACCTCGCTCGCCTCTCTACGAGGAATGGAAGGTTCAGCCAAACGAGGCGGCAAAAGCCACAGGCGCTTCTGTGAACATGGAGAATAAAACTAACGGGATGATTCCTCGTGCTCCTACTACCAACGTCAGGGTTAATGGCAGGCATCCTAGTAACTCGTTGGACACAAAGATCCGCCAGCAGGAGCCGGTAAAGAGTAGTCCTGTTTTACATAGTAAGTATCAAGTCTCCTTGTGATGCCTTAATATAATAACGATCTCTAACGTTTCGCGCTTTGAATAGATCATTATGCGAAACCCACCGCTAGCACGAATAACCGTGTTATCGCGAACCCTGTCCCTAGTGTGGCATCCAAGTCGGGAGTGCCCAGGCCTGGGCCATATAAACCTGCGGAACAGAACAACAAGAGGGTCATGGTGGGCCAACGCAGGCCACCTCCACCGCCTTATGTATACACCGCACCGAATCGTAAACAGTTTCGAAACGATGACTTGATCAGATGGTCGGACGGGATCAAGACTCTGAGCGGTGCTATGGCCTACTTTCAACCTACTTTCATTCAAGACCCGTGGAAGGACCTGAAACCTGTTGTGACGAAATTCCTTGAGCGATACTGGTAAGACTCCCTTCCAGTGTTAGTTCGAAATGATCGTTGTCGCGACGCATTTTCTGACATGGGTGTAGATGAGTTCAGATCAAGCAGCAGGATATCCTTGTGATGGTGGGAGTAGTAGGACCTAACTTGAGAAGGAAATGGTATCTACATTGCTGTGCCATGGCTATATGACGTCGTGCGGTTGCCAAGTGATGTGTTGGGGAAATGCATGCTGATAACTTTCGCCGAGTAGATGAACATATCATCAATGGGAGAATAAGCGACACTTGCCGGGCATGGACGCTTCGAGACGCTCTAGGAAGTATTGTTTTCATTCCTTAGTTCAGAAACGGTTAGCAAATGAGTAGCCCCTAAGGCAAATAACGGGCACAAGGACAATCAATTCATCTTTAGTTGATGGGAGCTCTATAGACGCTAGAAGGTATCAACCATCACAGTATGCATCGTATCAGCGACATTCATAGTTGAGTGTAGATGTATTGAGAGCCAGTTGGGCAGCCCAGATCCAAATATAGTACACCCCTCAACCCCGAGCCCCTGATCAAGTTAGCCCAGAAAAATGAAACATGCTGTACCGACCATCCGGGCAAAGTCAGACACTCTCATCTTGAGAATAGAAAGATCGAAAAACAACTATAAGGATCACATAAATGTCACACTAATCGGAAATCAAGTAAAAAAAAAATAAATCGCAAGCTTCAAACTAGAGATTCATGCATGACTAACCGGGTAATCAAACATTCCTTCCTTTTTCCACCAAGCTCTCGATAGTTGGCACGACCTATAACGGCAGGCACGGCCTTGGTCATTGATAGATCGACTTCCCCCTTTGTCGCAAATTGATGGGTGGTCTACTTAGGGGTAGACAAGTACTTCTGTCTCCCTCTCCGTCTCCCTCACACATTTGCGAATCGATTGAACTATATTCGTGCTCACGCACTATTATGGTGCTAATCGAACTATTTCTGTGTTGTTCACTGGTGACTAGTATGTGATTGATTAGTATAGCCTTTATTTCACGTACTATTGGGCTTCCTCCCCCACCCCTCCCCCCAGCCAGGGGGTGATGTACAACTCCACGTCGCGGTAGTGGAATCCTCCTCCTATAACATTTTACTGCAAGTAATCCACTAACTGTCAAAATTGAAGGCTAAAAATAGTGTGACGCATATCAGAACATTGCATCGTGAAGCTAACACAATATTCTCCACTGTCTAGAAGCTACCAACTGGCTATCGACCCCATATTGCACCTTCCAACACAAATATGCCTTCTGAGTTTGACCACTGAGTATTCACAGTTTCACTTCGTGCACTGCAGGGTTAATAATAACTTCTGGCTAATATGACAATCATCTTATGGCCATTGGCCGTGTGACACAGTTGCAAGTCGACGCCTAGAAGCTCCAACCACACCCTGTACCATGACATGCATGACCAGCCTTAAAGCGGCAACCAGCGCGTTGTAACCATAGGGCGGAGCGGAGCAGGCGGTACAGCCATGTCCGCTGGCGGAGTGGAGTCAGCAGAGGATCCAGTTCCGCTCATCCAAGGTGGGGGCTCCCAAGGACGTCGGCAGCCGGGAATGACGGCAATGGTCCCCCCACCCTCGAGTCAACACATACGTACAGAGGGATCTGGCAGTCTAAGCTCTAGTTCTCCTAAGAGCTATACGAAGAGTAGAATGTATCGCCGAGAATGTCGCTCGTGAGACTCGGGGGCATCCCCTGGAATGCACTGCAGGATACCTCAGAGGACCGTGCCACACTCCCCCCCACAAGCCCATCCCGCTTTAAAGGTGATTTAATTTACTGTGATTCGGGTTGGCACATGACCCAGCCCCTGCTCGTCACAAGCCTGATTGTGACTCGCTTTTCACCTGGTTGCTTTGGGCTGATGCACAGTGGGCCGCATTTCTGGCACGTGGATATTACCTGATGGCTATGATCTCACCCGCCACCGCAAGCGCGACTGCTGTCGATGTTCTAGAGAACCAGAGCTCGAAGATTGAATGTATATTTCGCCAGATTCAACGTACTATGATAGAGCGAAGCGTCCACCCAAAGACACGGTGCCCGAGGAAAAAGCAAAGACATGTACCAGCCCAGAACCCCTTCAGTCGCGAGATAACGCAAAAAGTTCAAGTCGCTCTTCAAAAATCCACGCCAGATCCGAACCCAGAAAACCAATTTTACCCTATACAAAACCATTATCGTCGTTGCCAAATAGAGGTGCGTGCCTCCAATAATCTGAACCGATGTGAAACCGGACCGAGCCAATATAAGCCCTTAGCTTGGGATTAATTGTCGTCGAAAGTGTACTTCTTGGTCGCCCGTCTATACTCGTCGGGAAAGTTATTCTCGGCCTTCGCCTTGAGAGCACTATGTACGTGATTGGTTAGTGTTTAGGGTATTCGGAATAATGGAGGCTTCGGCTGGGATGCAGCACCTGCTGCAGCAACTGCGCTGCCAAGAAATATCTTGACAGCGGAGCGCAGCGGGCGCCTGTGCTCCCCGCCGGCGGAGCGGACTGCCTCAACTGTCGTATGTGATACAGGAGGGCTCTTAGGAAGACTTGGAAACTCACTTCACACGCTTCTGAGTCCATTCCAAGTCACGCTTGGTCTCGCGAGCAACTTTGATACCGTCGTTAAAAGTGGCCCGCACTCCTTTTAGACGACGTTGGGCCAGGGCTTGCAATTCCAAAAGCTCGCGCTGTTTGGCGTTCAGCTGACCGGAACTATAGTTTTACACGTCAGTTTGTTTGTTGTTACGTCTCACTCTTGTTGCATGCCGGAATCCCAAAGTGGTCCAACCCAAAGGCAGCTGGAACCCTTTTGGAATCGCAAAGAGGACTGCTTACGTTTGTGCCTGCATTGCCAATCCCCTGTCCAAAGGTGTGGGATCGAAGACGTCCTGCATGCGGTCGTTGAGAACGTCGACAACATCCACACCAGAATACGAGGCAGAGCTCGTTTCATAATCGCCGCCAATGCTGCCAGAGCTGTAGCTGAAACCTGCAGAGGTGCGGCTTCCTGCAGTAGTGCTAGTGTCAGAGATATCTGGAGGAGATCCAGAAACTCTGGTAATGGGATAGAGGTTGGCAGGAGCAGGAGCCTTAGAGGGAACATTGATGGGAAGAGAAGGAGACTGATAGTGATGGGTCGCCATGATGATTCGTCTTGTTGCTTGGTTCACAGGAGCTTCGAAACGAAGACAATGGAGGACAATAAGATGAAGAATCTTCAGTCGCAAGGAAGAATTGAGGTCAAGCTCCGAAGGGATGGAGGCGTATGGGAGGACACAACGGAAGGATCACGAGGAAGAACGAATGCACGTCAAACTGATAACCGCACTTGATGAGGTAGAAGAGAAAGAAGAGGAGGAAGAGGACGACGAAGGATGAGAAGAGGGTTTATATAACCTTCACCGGAGGGAAGACCCTCCGGCGGGAAAGTCCATGACGAGGGCTGTGACCTCAATTGAGAGGGGGGATGGGATGGGCGATTGATCCATTGGGCATTGGGCCATCCCCGGAGGTTTCTTTCCCACCCCCCCTTTGACACTCACTTTCCCAATTCCTCCATTTCTCTCCAATCCCAACCCCCCAATTCCGCCCGTCCCTCACTTTCTGGCCGCCAATTCGCTCCTTTCTCCGAATTGACCCCGCTCTGGCTTGGAAAGCGAAATTTTAGGGGAGATCTATGAATGGCCGGAGCCTGGTCCAGGCCGTCCCATATCTCCTCCACTCAGTCCCCAACCCGCGCTCCCGTGGCGATTTTTGTCGGGCATCCAGTCTGTCTCAGGTCAGATTCCCCATCCTCGGGCTGCGATGGACAATGGGGCCACCGGAGATATAAAAGGGGGCTGTGATGACGAGACGCCAGCTGAAGTGCTTCTGATTCCGATCCTCAGCGGACGTGCGGAGTTACGTATATTATTTCTTATATTGAGGACTTTTAATGAATTATCGATCTTTCACAACTCTCTTACCCTGTCTTCTAGCTCTCAGCTCCCGTGAGAGGTTTCTGTTGTCTACCCTTCTTCCGCTCTACCGTTTCATTCTTTCATCCACCTTCCGAATCCCGTGGGCTACCCATGTGCATCAATATCAGGGGGCTGGGTGGCTGGGAAAGCTTGTGTGCTGCGGCCTGTGATAGAAGAGCCATTCGACAGAAGGACGACCAACGGCGATAAGAGTTGCGTGACTACGGAATTGCCGAATCATGAGACGACCAACCGCGGTCTTTTCATCAGCTATGCCACCGCTAGTTGGCATAACCTAGATCAGTCCCCAGTGTTTGTCGTTTCTTTTCTGAGAAATCCTTCCGTTACTCGACGCAATTCATTTCGATGGGTGTGGATACCAGCGGGTTGAAAGCGCTTGCAGTCAAATTCTCTTCAGCTAGGTTAGTATTCTGTTTCCTGTCGAGAGAAATGGGTGACGGGATTTGCATAGCAGAAAATGCATGCAAGGGTACTTCAACACGGGATGTATGAGATATGGAAACTGACAAAATCACAGGATCTACAATGCTTAAGAAAGGCCAGAATCGAGCATCATGGGTTGGCGTTGGACACCTCTGCATATGCCGGAATTAAATTGTGAGGGGGAGAAGGAACGCAGAAAAATAAAATGAGGAAAAAGAAATGAACGAAAGAGGGCCAGAAGGTGGGCAGAAAACCGAAGGTGGCCTTGCCGCATGCTAGCTATCTCGGCCCAGCAACCTAGAACCTCTCAGGTGGCACGGCAGGGCAGAATTACACCCCTGAAATGGAGAAGAAACCGTGTAACCGACAGGGTTCCTTCCTGGTGCCAGATTGATGACGTGCGAAAGAACGCAAGGCCATCCGAGATTCCGGTACCTGCAAGTGCTTCCCCCTTTCGCTTATCAGCGGCTATGTGTGATGTTTCTTCAATCATGGAAATATTCTCAGTCAATGAGCGAGATTACACACCCAGGGCCTCAACGGGACAAGCGCTCTAAACGCCGCCTACGTGTGCAGTTCGACGGCAGATGGGGCCAAGTGGATCTGGATAGCACCTCATTGGGGTTTGCAGAGAACAAAGATTTCATTGCGAATCTGATCCCTTAACTATGATGGCTTACCCCCATGAGAAAATTACACAGTCTGTTACGTGGGAGGACAGTCATGGCCTTGGAGCCCGATCCCAAAGCTGACTATAAGGGCAAGGTACAGGGAAGGTCAAGTCGAGGCGGCGAGAGGGGCGCCAAATTGAAAATGGGATAAGGTCAATACGGGACAGAATTCTACTCCGACAGGTTGACGGGATGGATACAATTAACCCATTTCCATGCCTGGCTGGGTTGCTGACTTCATCGAGAAAACACCACTCAGAGTCTACGCCGAGTTCACGGTGACATCCGCTGACAGGCCGTCACATCCAGTGAGAGTCGGTTCCTCGATCGTCCCATGTGGGCACCATCATTGCTCTACTACCTTTGCTGCCTCACGCTATCTGGAGGTTGTCGCCTTACAATATCGACTGTGCCGTCTGCCTTTTCACCCAATATACCCAAGAATGCCTAAGCACAACCAACTCCAGGAGATCCGCGGGTTGATTACACTCAAGAGGAAGGCCTTTTTCACTTGGCCATCAGCCCGACCGGATTAACGGGTAACACAGAGGCCCAACGCGAGACTTGAGTCTCACACAAGCTTTCAATCCCCAGGTTTCTGGTCTGAATGCGTCACAATTCAATTTTCGTTTTCGGCTTCTGATTCTTTTCCGCTGAGAACGAGCTACTTTGGGGTGAATGATAAGACGCTCTCCATACCATGCGATTGCCGGCTCAAATCAGCCTACGCCGTCACACCTGGCACCCTGAGCTTATGCAACCGGCTGCTCGACATTTGTCTTCGCTGCATGGGCTCCATTGGGTTAAGACTAGGATGGCTTGGATGCAGACCGGGTCATGGCCGCTTGGATCGTAAGACGATTGTCCCCGCAGCGCCCACAGCGCCCAACAACCGATGCAGATGAGGTCCGTGTTAGGCCTCTGATGAATGAAAGAATGTCTCCGGAGTGGAGGGTATTAAGATCCTCCGTTGACATCGACCCAACGACGGCGGGTGCATTGCGGATGGGGGGAAACGAAAGGAATGCAGCGGCTGTGGGGTTGTGAGGCCCTTCATTCGCCTATCGTCCGTTTGCTCGCATCGTCCCTCACCGCCACATCAGTGCTCCCCTTCAGTTGGTTCCTTTTTAGTCCATTCGGCCATCATGACGCTTACTGCACCATACGTCTAGAGAAGAAGTTCATCCGGGCCCGCTAGTCATTGGGCCTTCTGTCATCCTCTCTTTGGCTTTTCCAGAACATCGCGAGCGGGGTGCTACCAAACAGGCTGTCCGATTCCAGCCAACGACATGCATGCATCATTTCTCCAAGTCTGGGGACCCGGATTGGATTGCAATATCCAGTCGACCCAGCTAATCGGCCTTACGATTATCGCGGCTCATTCCTGACTTTGCAGGGACGCCGGATTCCTTGGTCGCCGAATCCCAGCCACGACGGCAACCTAAGTGAGGTTCATATACAATTCTCAAGCAGCCCTCACCATGCCAAAGTCCTTTGGAGCAACGTGACTTCTTGTGATGGGCTGGTTTTCGCCTTCGTTATACCGCTGTGCAACGTCTAATGTCTCTGCATCATTCAGCATCACTTTTGTATCTTTCTCTGCCTTGCACAGTCCCATTCTCCCTCGTGACTCCAATATCTTTCCCTGTGTCCTCTGCATATGCCTGTCTAGATGACTGACTCACAGGACGCGTATCAGCCGCAGGTGGCCACTAAGGTGGCTAAACGGATGGTTTCCGCCCAACGCAAGTGTTTCAGTCTCGATGTGAATGGCCGTCGGATCATAAATCAGGCCCGAAAAAGAAAGCAAGAATGAATACTACAGGGCGACGACAACCATTCACGCTCAGTAAATCAGCATTACGGCTTCAAGTCAAGCAAGGAAATGGAGTCAAAGGTTCTCCCGAGTCTCTCTATTCGGCACGTATCCGAGACATCTGAAGACCAAACAACCATTGTCTCCGTGACCTTCGTTCCTACTACTAACTTCAAGGCGAGCAGCCAGCCATCATCCGACATCTGAACCCTCAACGAAGGTTACACAAGGGAGGCAAGGAAGTGAAAGGGCACCTTTAACGCCTCTATTAGGAGGTCATCATGAGTCTGGAGCGAACCCATGATCTCAAACTGGTAGGAAGGGATGCGTGGAGTCTCCCGACACGTAAAAAAGGTGGGTCGGTAGTCGACACCAAGCACGTTTTCATAGAAGCTTCAGATTGTAAAAAACAGATACAGGAGGATGCAGTCTATAGCACATGACAGGCGCAATAGGCAAACATAAGTCACCACGTTTCATAGAGCCTAAGTATGTAACGGAACAGTTTTCCCCGGAAATATTCAAATTCAATCAGTTAGTAACCTACCTACTATGCCCCTCCTAGTCACTCCTCCCTCTGCGACCGAATTAGTAGACATTAGCCATTCGGTACTACTTCTTCACCAACCCAACACCCGGAACATCTTCTCCGGTCGGCAGCAGCACGGCTGACTAGCATCCAGCCAACTAGTTACCTCCATGGGTTTTACTACCACTTTTACCTGCTACCTACCTCGCTACCCACTTATGGACCCATTTCAAAAGGTATGAAAGGTATAGATGAATACGAATTCAGAAGTATACGACTACATACACAAATGTCGATAGTAGTATTATATAACGAGTGAATAGGATGATTACTTATGCAAACACACAGCAATTTCCCCAAGTCAAACTCCAGTATGTAACTGAAGTAGTAATAATAGTGAAATAATGGGATAGGAACAATTGGACAAAAAAGGGAAATGAAAGAATGAATGGAAGTATGCAACACCTACCGTACTAGTAACTAACTTACTGATTTTATTCCCTATGAGAAGCCGGACTGGCGAGATCGTTTCCCGTAATGCATTGCATTGAACCAAGAGAAACGAAGTAATGAAAGGGACAGATATTATGAATTAGCCTGGCTAGGGTATATCTTTCACTCACTCAATCACTGGTGGGGATATATATAGTAATGATGATGAATATAATCTACTCGGGAATGATGGGGTACGTGGGTTAAGGTAATTAGGAGAAGAGAGGGTGAGAGAGGGGTGTGAGGATAAAGGATACCCGGAAGAGGACAAAAGCACGGGCGGGGGGGCCATTGGGAGGGAAATGGAGAAGAGAAATTGATATAAGAGAAAAGAACAACGCTCTGTTATCTGCAAATACAATTCCAGAAAGTTAAATGTCGTGCTCATAAAGCTGGTATCGGGGAAAGCCGCGTGAGGGAGGCATGGCTTCACAGGAAGAAAGACGACTGAGAACTGCTCAACAAATCCGAGAACTGACGCCATATAAAACGAGGTCGAAGAGTCCACAAGAACAACAACAAGAACCCTGAGATCCCGGCCCCGTAATGCTGAAAGGTATCAATCAATCAAACTTTGAATGCCGAATGCAGATGCATAGTGGGTGTTCCACAACCGAGAAAGAGGGAGACTCTGAAAGCGAAAGCAAAAACTTGAAAAATCATCCAGAGGCGCCTTTCCATCCGATGGCTCTAGCCAATCCAAGAGAAGAAAATGAAAATATAAAAGAGAAGATATGAAGACCTCATCCCAAGATCGAGAAAAACAAGACTGTGTAAAAGATACATCATGACCGGGAGGGCCGCAGAGACGTGTTACCCCTGCAATGAGCGCGGAGGTGTGGTTATCACGTAAAAGAACCCAAATAACGCCCTGTTGGCAGTTGAGAGTATCCACAAAAAAGGCAGGCGGACTACATTAGTATTAATCACGGTGGTGGTCCTCACTATCGGCCCTGAGGCGGTCGCGTAGGAGAAGCAATGGTCGATTGGGATCAAGCAGACCCATCATCATCTTGCCCAACTCATTGTGCTTGATAGGCTTGGTGACATAGTCGTTGAAGCCAGCTCGTGCGGCATCCTCGATTTGATCCGTCATTGCGTTGGCTGAGAGCGCCATGATCGGGATTTGGGGATAGTGGTTCTTCAACTCCCATCCGCGGATATCACGACACGTATCATACCCATTCTTGATGGGCATTTGGATATCACACTGCACAAGGGGTGAGCGACAATACCTACTGCGAGCAGTTGGGGAATCCTGCACTTACTATGATGAGCGAGTAGTATCCTGGTTCCTTCGAGAAGACCATTTCTGTACACTCTTGGCCATTCGTAGCTGTCTCCGCCATAACTTTGATCTTATCGAGGTATTTCAACATCACCTAAAATGACTTAGTATCAGAAAGGGAAACGTAATGTGGTAAATGGTACGGGGTAGGGACGCACCATGCGATTCGTCTCGTCGTCCTCTACCAATAATATCCTATAGCCTTTGTTGCCGATAACCTCCTTAACCATCTTAGACATAGTCTTGAAGTTGTTGTTAATCTCCCTTGCCATATCTTGGTTTCTATCCTTGCTCAGATCGCGTCGGTTGTCGGGATCGAAAATGGCAGAGAAGGCCGAGGGCTTGACTGGTTTCGGTACTGTGTATACACGCCTTCCGGTGGCGGCCAGCTCTTTGATTCGGGCGTTGACTTGGCGTTTCTGGTAGAGGTCGGAAATGATGACAAGGGTTGGGGCGGTCGCAGGATCACACTCTGAGACATATTGAATCACGTCTGATACATCGTCCACACTGGGCAGGTTGAGAACCAAGTGAGTGAGCTTCGAGCCAGACTCGTCACTTACGTGGTCCCGCCAGTCTTCGATATCCGGAGTTGAGGTAATGGAGAACGGGACTTCAAGAGGGACGACCTGTTCGATGTGTTGTTTGATGGCTTTGCGAGTGTTGTCCAAGGGGCACAGGATAAGAATGGAGAACGCGCTTGGTAATTGCTTCGCGTCGTTTCCAGCAGCCGAAGCAGGTAACTGAGTCGAAGAGGGGGGTTCCTGCACCTGGGATACCGGCTCGGTCGCTGGACGTGAGCCGTCGCCACTTGGAGTCGCAGATTCCGTTCCGGACGCAGCGGGAGCATCAATCTTAGTTAGAGGGTCTACCGTGCTAAGATCAGGAGTCGGAAGAGCAGAGGAAAGTGACGACCGTTCGGAGAAATTGGACGTTGCCAGACGAAGGGGGGGTTCTGCGTTGGCTGACGTTTTCGAGAGGGATGACTCGAGAGCAGAAGTCAGTTCGGCTTGATCTGGCGCCTTATTATTGAGCGGATCTTTCGTGAAAAGTAGCTTGTGCAAGGGGTTAAGCTTGGGTTGCGCTCCGAGCATTTCAGATGCACCCTGTGCTTGTCGAAGGGTTCGGGACTCTTCGGGAGTCGGTGGTGGGGGAGCATCGACTTTGACATGGAAGGAGAATTTGGCGCCTTGGCCCTCCTTGCTGCTAGGAGTCAATTTTCCGCCATGCATCTCAACAAGCTGTTTGGATAAGAACAGCCCCAAACCACTACCCGCATGTTGCTGTGATCCATTTTGCCCAAGCTGACTGAATCGTTGCATCAGCCGTTCTGCATCCCTTGCGCTGAAGCCTTTGCCCGTATCCACGACGTCAAAGTTCAGTAAGAGTTCGGTCTTCTTAATTTGAGCTGAAGCATCATGGTAAATGGAGCAGCAGATGTGAATCTCTCCTTGCGCAGTGAATTTGACTGCATTACCGACAAGGTTGATGAGTACCTGTCGGATTCGGAATCTGTCTCCGATGACCATCGGCGGGACATCCACATCCATTAAGTAGTTGATCTCGAGGCCCTTGTCGATGGCCCTGGACGAAACAGTGTCGATTACATCTTCAATCACAGATCGTACATGGAACCACGAGTTGACTAGAGACATTTTACCCGCTTCCACTCTAGAAACATCGAGAATGTTGTCGACTAATTCGCGTAGGTTGGTCGAGCTATTCTGTATGGTATCAAGCATTCTCCTCTGATCTGTGTCCAACTGAGTATCAAGAATGAATGGAATGGTGCCAAGGATGCCGTTCAGCGGAGTCCGGATTTCATGCGACATGTTGCTAAAGAACTTCGTCTTGGACTCCATCTGGTTGTTGAGTTGTTGCATGGCTTTATTCAGTTCCCGCTCTAGATTCTTGCGGTCATTGATATCCGTGCAGGTTCCGTACCAGGACGCTTCGCCGCTGCCAAAACTGCTTGTCTCGACACAGACCAGGCGAACAAGGTGCCATCGGAAATCGCCACCTTTCGAGCGTAGTCGTAGTTCGGTCGAGTAGAAAACACGACCATTCTCATCTCTCTGTACAGAGGCAACTCCCCGTTTGACAAGCTCTTCCAGTGCGGGTGTGACGCCCTGACCCAGATGCTTCTCTTGAGAGGACTTGGCGCTCGTCGTCTCCGTGGGTGCTTCACCTGCGTCACTGACGGCCCCAGTTTTCTGTGAATCATGGAGGTAAAGGGAAAGTAAGCCACACTTCTCGAGATCATCGTGATGAACATGCTTTGCGAAGCCAAAGTTAAGCGCATCTTCAAGCTTCTGTCCGGTGTACAAATGCCATTGCTCATTCACGAAGATAAGGCCCCGGTATTCTGTCGCTTCGAAGACGATCTGCGGGATAGAGTTGGAAAAGGCTCGGTACTTGGCATCAGTGGCAAATTTCTCTCTTTCCTGTGCTGCTTTCAGCTCCGCAATATGCTGTTCATGGATGTCAAGGAATGATCCAATCCAATATAGCACCTCTCCTGTGGAAGACAGCAACGGATTTGCCCGGAAGATGAACCAGCGGTAAGCCGACTCGTCGTTGAAACGCTTGACGCGAACACGTTCGGTAAATTGAGAGCCTGTACGTAAAGCATTTGCCCATTCCTGAGAAACGTGTTCCCGCTCGCTACTGTGGATATTCTGCCAGGGATCCCTCAGCTTCTGTTCCTGGGGTTGACTCCGCCTGTAGGCATCGAATTTCGAATTTGTCCAGATAACCTCGCCACTTTGAGGCTTTGCAAGAAACAGATGAAGGGGGACTGAGTTCAGCATGAGCTGGGCCACAGTATCGGTGAACGGACGTGGTAGCTCGCGTTGTAATTGAGCGTAAAATGAGTTTGTTGATGGGTGCCGGGAAGTTTGCGTCGGCGATATGACCGGGGGCGCCTTGACTTCTTGTGACGGTGAGATTATGACCGGGCTTTGGTCCTGCGAGGCAACATCCTCCTCCGAGGGCTTCCCAAGGAACTTGCCGGGGGAAGTGGGAGTTGATGTTGCAACGTTCTGTTTGACCTTCGCCAGCCTGATACGCTGCTGGAATTGCTTCGACTGCTGAACATTGAAATAGCTGTCCACGCCATCATTGCTAATTCTTGCGGCCACACCGGGTGATTCGGAGAGATTCAGAGTTGTCCCAGCCCCGATGTTGCTCAGTTCAAATCCCGGGGTACCAAGTCCAGATACTGCAGGGCTGAATTTGGCTGAGTTCGATCTTTCTTCGGGACTAGAAAGACTGGCGCGGGCTGAAAGCGATCCATCATCCGCTATCGTGTAGTTTACATGACCACTAAGGCCAGCGACGAGCTCTAACTCGCTACTTTCATCCGAGAATGTTCCACCAAGACCAAGGAGGTGCCCGTAGCGCGGAACCTCAAGTCGAGAAGTGACTTGGCGCTCGAGCTGACTGTATTGTTGAGCCAAGCAGAAAGAAGTCGTCAGATGGGGCATGAGGTAAGCCAAGGACTTCCTCAGGTTGGAGGGATAAGGCATTATTGAGGAGAGGATGGAAATCACTGCAACGGGGAATCGTAATGTAGACGGTGATGTTTGTTTAGAGCGGCCGGCGTGCAAAAGTGGGATGTGGACCACGGACTTGGCCATGTCGACACCGATGGCTTCCAGGGGCTTGAGGTTGGAATAGTCATGAGGCGGGGGATGCTTCGCAAATGCTTCCTCGTCGACAGCGTGGCTGACGAAGAAAGGGTTTTGCTCCGCATGAGCACGCGGCGCAGGCGAAGGAGCTGGAGACTGCGACCACGGCGATGGGGGTATTTGCTCGTACTCGTCGAAGAATTCCATTGACGGCGTACGATGTGCTTGCAAACCTGACGCGGCGGGATTAGAAGTCGATCTAGCGCGAGTCGCGTACGGTGCCTGAGTAGTGGAAGGCTCGGCGGTCGGCGTGACTTGGATCCTGTCCTCGGGAGTCTCACAGGGCGTCTGGTCGTTCGTCAAGCCTTGGGAGTATTCACGGGTCAGAACAACAGGGTCGGTGCGGCCAAAAAGCTTGACGACACCTGTCCGCTTGATAAGCGGATCTGCTTCAACTTCCAACGGTCTCGGGATCGGGAAGACGGCTTGTCGAGGGTTGTCTTGGGTATATTGGGGTTGCCCTGATGACGGCTCGGTTTCCGGAACGGCGGGGTTCTCGGCAAGGGTAGAAGTGCGTTTGAGCTCTGGTCGGAGTGAAGACTTTGGTTGTAGGCGCGGAATGTCTGAGTCCTGAACATTGGGGTTCTTCCTTTCCTTGCCAAACCCGGCGAAGGAGTGTCGCGACAGAAGCGAGGGTCGCTTTGGAGATTTCGAAGCGCTTGTTCCATTGGCAAGCGCTTCCCTAAGAAACAGTTCCTTCTTTCGCTCCGGGTCTTCGTTCTCTTTCGGGGTCTTATCGCGGGGTGTGCTCGTCTCATCGTGCAGATGCCGTACCTGCGACTCCGTCTCGATGTTCTGATCAAAAACCGCCTTTTGGCCCCATGGAACATTTTCCAGGTCAGTCGCATCGCCGGGTACGGCAAGCGACACCCGCTCGGCACCATAGTGTGCTTGCAGAATATGTATCACATTCGCCCACCAAGCGTCTAGGCCAGGATCTGCGTTTAGTTGCAAAGTGAGGTCATAGAGGTTTGGACTAGGGTAATTCGGATCCTCGATCACGTTCTTAGGTAGCGCTGGTAGGAAAAAGCTCTGCAAGTGCGGTGTATCTGCCCCTGTCAGCTGCTGCTCTTCTGAAAGTTGCGATGGCATCGTCTGCGACTTCAGTTTCTCGGCCGGCAGTGTCAACTTGAAAGGGCTATGGTTGAGCGTGGAGCTCTGTGTCGGCCGAGTCGAAGGTTGCGTCTGCATTCTCGGGAACGGATAGGACGGCGTTTGGCCGGTGATGTTGTCGGGGGTAGAATCCATGGCCCGGATGGTGCCACCAGACCCGGTAGAATCGGAGAAGGAAGCTGATGGCATCGCTCCTGTGGACGAGGCGACTTTGGGGAAGGATACATTGAGGGGCCTTTTCCTTGTCGATCCAGGGGAATTTGAGGTGACAGGATCGGGTTGCGATGGAGGGGCTTCGCGATTAGCCGAAGAACTCTGGTTCTGTGATTGTTGCATCTGTTGGTAGACGAGCAACTCTTCCATCTGCCTCCGGAGCTCTTTAAGGGTTTGCAGGCTTCGTCCCTGGTCCTCTGGGTACTTCCCCGCTTCGGAACTGTCTTTCTTCGCAGGCGTTGAGGTATGACATGCGTCCGTAGTCTGCTCAATCGGAATAGAAGAGTAAGCGTTAGCATTCCACGTGTTATTCTCCGTGATCGTGTCTCCATCGATTGCAAATCCAGTGCTGTGAACAGGAAGAAAGCCAGTTGATTGGGAGGAGGTTCGACGGAGGGAATGGGATGCGGCGACAGGCGAAGGGGCCTCGGCCGGCGATGGAAGCGGAGGTGTCCTCATGCTGCGAACTTCCCCCATCCTATACTCCCTCCACCGCCGGTCAGACAATCAATTCTCCTGGGTGAATCCAACTCCGCAGGAGCCAACCGGAGCACTCATCTCTCGGACAAACTGGTCCGCGATCAGGGTAAATATTCGTAGTCGATGAGAGCAGGGGGAGACGACAGACGCGGTAGAAAAGGGGAAGGAGAGGAAAGAGGTGAGAGGGAAAAAAGTGATTGTTGGAGTGTAAGTGTGTGCAAGTATGATAAGGAAGAAGGGTAAAAAAGAAAAATGGGTAACGAAAAAAAAAATACAGTTGACAAGAAGTAACAAAAAAGGGGGGGGTAGTTTGGCTGGGGTGTAACGAAAAATAAGAAAATAAAAATAAAAAAATCAAAGAATGGCCAAAGGGGGGCTGTATTTTTGAACACGGAAAAAAATGGAAATGGAAAAGAAAATTAAGACCCGAAGAGAGGAGGGAGGCAGAAAAAAAAAGGACCAGGTGATATTAAACGGCCTTGAGAGATGAACTACTTTGTGGAGAGGGGGGGGGTAGTGGATATAAAAAGGGAAAGGCACGAGAAGAGGAAGGGAAAGAAATGTGTAAAAGGGAAAAAGGTGTAGGGAAAAGGTTGTTTGGAGGAAAGGGTGGTGACTAAAGCGGTGTATAGCGGGAGTGCAGGGAAAAAGAGAAGCAGGAGGAACAGGAGGAAGAAGGTCAAGAGGTGGAGGAGAGAAGAGGAGGAGAGGAACGGGATTGTGAGGAAGGTTCGACTGATCTGACCTTTTTCCTAGAAGCACTGGAGCAGGTTCTGCTATTGACCCAGCAGATCGACGATTTGTGCTGAAGGGTGGAAATGGTCCGTCTCCGGGGGTGTTCAGCCTATGACGTAGGCAAGCCCTGGGGGGTGTCGGTTTGCTCAAACCCGCGGTAACCTAACTACTTAGCGAAGATGTCGCCCGGCCTGGGGGATCAAGTTGGAAAAGAGGGGTAGAGGGGAGGATGAAAAAGGGCGATGGAGGGAACGAAGATGGGTGAGAAGAAAGAGAGGGACTGTGTCTGGCTGGTCTGCCGGACAAGAGAAATCGTCAGGCAATAAATGAGAGTGTGCGCGAGGGAGATGGGAGGGAAAGGATGAGCAAAATTGGAAAGGCCGGAAGGGAAGTAGAATAGTCCGCTATGGAGGAGAGCGATATTATGGTCACTCCGAGGAGGGAGGATGAGGGAGAGGGAGGGAGGGAGATAGAGCGAGAGAGACCGAGAGACCGAGAGAGTGAGGGAGAGAGAGAGAGGTTAGGTGGATGGATGGATGGGTTCGATTCGATGGAAAGGATGGAGGGATGGGGGAAAGCCTGGGAAGGAAAACGACTGGCGGGTTACTGGCTGACTTACTACTTGACTGGCTGGCTGGCTGGCGGATTCCCAAGTCACAGTCACCCGAATTTCATCAGAGCGATTTCCTCGAGAGGGGATGAGAGCCTACCAAACGGCCTTCCCCCCCAAAAGTGCTACTACACTACTTACTACTAACTGAACTAACTACCAAAACCAATACCTAACTAAACCCAAGTATTGACACCTACCGGCACTAACCGTTACTTAGTCTGGTAACCCAAGGGGGTAAAAGAAAAAGAATAAGAAAAAGAAAAAGAAAGATAATACTCAGTACAATCACCACTCAGCATCCTGATGCGTGAGTTTGCGATACCGCCACATCCCTGCTGATTATTGCCGGCACAATTCTGGGGTTGCCGAAATGGGCCACCCGATATCACATGATGTCCCTAGATATAGACTAGTGCCAGGGCATCCTCGACCTCATCGCGCGCCACCACCACCAGATCACTGAGATGGTTTTACCCACAGGGCTGTCAAGGACACCATGGGAACATTTAGCCAGCCATTAGAATTGCTTTAACCTTTCAATCAACTTTCAGCCTCATATCCGCTTCCTAGGATAAATGTTGCCCCATCCGCATATGTAAGGATGTGTTACCGCCTTCTCAGATGACGTAGCGCAGGCTTTGGGGAACTTCGTCCGGTTCTCAAGTGTTGATGCTGTGTCTTAGACCAACAGCATGCCGTTCGCCTTGCGAAGTAGAGGTGTTCCCGTAGAAGTCATGCCGTATGGCTGTCTACTCGTATAGCCGATATCCTGCATGCCCAGTGTCCTTCAAGGGGTAGGGCGCTCGTGACTGGGCTGCACACTTACCGAAGAGGCTAGTTCTGTAATTGAATCGACGATTTGGGATTCAAGATCCAAGGTGCCAAGTAGCTGGTAAATACCAAATAAATGTCACTTGTTCATGCAGGGTGTCTAAGTAGAACCAGCATGTTCCTCGATCTCGATGTGTTGTTTGCTCCGGCAGTAGTGACCCGTAAACAGAAAACGATTCGCCTTCTTCAGGCTAGCGATATCATGATAGTTGTGTCTAGCATTGCACCTGATATAGCCACTCTAGTAGAATAACTCCTCCATATGTCAACGCGTAATGTCAATAATGATACTATCGATAATGGTCTAACAAAAGGTACACACTCTGTGAACACACTCTAGCCGAGAGATTCGTCGCCTTATTGCTAGGCTAGTCCTAACACAGTCTAGCGGGGGGAGGCTGCACCACAGGGCGGAAAAACCACGGGTTCTCAATAAACACCACGCACAGATGGTCTTTTCTCCGTCAACCATCCATAGTTACTCCGTAATTGGAGAGCACCCAGGGGTAGCGGAGAAAAAGGTGGCCACCTACATCATCATCATCAGTGGAGGACTGGTTTCAAAAATAGAAAAGCACCAGATGTCTAAACCATTGTGGACGACAGAACCCAAATCGACAAGACAACCAGCCTCGCTAGGGGAGTGTGTTCGATGGCACGGTCGGGGAACCGAGAGACTATGAATTGTGTCGAAGCATGGGAATGTTCGCCGTTAGGGACCTATTTATGGACACCCCTTACGATCATGGTGATGATAGGCGCTCCGGCTCGCATCAGATGACGACATCGGGCGTTCTGTCTACGGGTAGGACCATGGGTACGGAGCCTGACTAGGTACTATTTTACATTAGCTCTGCAATCCTGTACCCCATACATATTCCGGGTGGGTAGCCAGCTGTGATTGGAGCAACATCATCCATGTCCATCCATGGATATTCGAATCGGGAGAGGCTGGTTCTCTTCTCGGATACCCATCCATGTCACCAGTCACCACTTTCCTCACCACTAATCCCCCCTAACTAATTAAAATAGTGAATTCGGTTATCGGTAGTGTGGTCAGACATGCCGCATGCCTGACGATGCCATCCCCGAACCATCTCTCTCCTCACAAATTTCGTACAGGAGTCAGGCGATCCAATCTAATTTATTGAAATACTCCTTATATAAGGACAGCTTTTAGAGTTTACAAACTCGTCACCTACCCTTTTTTAGCCGGCTTAGGTGCTACGTACTTGTGTCACGTCTCCCCGTCTTATACTCTGGAAAAAGATTTAGAGCCACGCTACCTTCATACCTTGTACAATTTGCGGATTCCTACTGAACTCTAGTTTGTCCAACTTACATTATTTATCTTCCATCGGCCTGTTTCCTTTCAGTTCTATGGTCGTTGAGATTGTTTACAAATACGTCACACATGACTAAATGAGCTACAGGTAGGAGTCGCCTTATGTGATTCTTTGAGATATGTCCTCCGCCCAAGAAAAGAGTTCAATAAAAGAAATATCATGCCCGGGACTTTCAAATTGAGTTAATCTGTCACCGCCAAGCACCGTCCCCGTTAGCTGGTGGAGATCGACCAACACATAATTAATAGGAGGTCGGTCCATATCGTAGGCTGGGATATCCAGTAAAGTCCACTGAATCAGTGTATAGGTGGACAGTACCAATCTATCATAAATCATAGTATTACGATGGTACGCAAATGTTGCATAATGAGCAACATCGACCGAAATATGACCTATTAGGTTTGTAGAAGGGTTTGATCACTATTACAGGGGCGAGTGAGCACCAGTATCTCTCGCATTCTAAATTAACCATGCCTGCTAGAGCTGTCCCAAGAATCCGGCTGAGTACTTTGATTCTGCGTTTTCACTTTATTGGTCTTTTATAGGCTTATTCAATAGACCGGCCTTGATTGAACTAGCCTGAGCGTGTAGTTTCAACTCGAATCTTGCTTTTTAAGTTCACTCATATTGTGGACCTGGGAATATAAATACTGTGTACGTAGTCACATCCATATTAAGCAGCATATGTCTTACCCATTGACCGTTCTCATTGGGCCAGTTATCAAAGGATCCGATGATCAGGCATGCGGATTTCTCCATTTGGCCGACACATCCTACTGATACTCTGAGGTAGCTTTGCTTAGGGGTTATGCTCGACGATTATAATCTTCAGCTCTGAGATTTTAGTTCCCATACGTAAGCTGTAATTTCTAGGGAAGAATCTGCCAAAGTCTTCGGTCTTTAGTCTTGATCAGCGTGCGCTGTGTTTCCCTTCCAGTAGTTCAGTGACTTTCAGTGGTATTTTATATATATCTCGGATCATCTATGCACCCATTGGTAGCAGCGATGGCGTGCATGATCTTGCTGAATTCCAAAACACATATCATAAGACCAAATACTTAGCCCGAAACAAAACGCGTCCTCGAAAGGCTCAAATGGAGCTTTTGTCAGACTCACCAGGCCCATATACTCCATGCGTAATCCAGCCAGAAGCTCCTCCGGAGATATGGTGTATTTGACCATTAAAGTCCCGAGTTAACACCGGTATTATGAAAGATGAAGAGATGTGTAATATGCCCAAGATGATTCGCCCCAAGAACTAATCAATTGTTGTCTTCCCGTAATTGAGCTGGGGAAGGGTTTTGTTTTTGAGTGGATGGTGCTCACCGCATATTGGGATAAGCGGGAACAAACCCTGCAACCTCTGATAATCAATAGATTCGTCTTACATTCACTCCAGTCGCTCTGTTCTTATCATGATTTATTTGGCTTATACACTGAATGTCTACGTGGGGCAACAAACATGGTCACTT